AGTCCGGGAACTTTCCGGACAAACTGTGTATATATACACATATATTTCCGCAACAACATCTAGCGAACGGCTCTTATTACCGTTTATATATTTATAGTTTATCAGGAATGTTCAGAACATTAATAAGTTTTGTTTAGAATTAAAACCAAATTTTTCAAAACTGATATTTTCTCAAAAATGACATTTTTGGAAAATTATCAGAAAATGTTTTTTTCTATTTTTAAACAAAACTTATTAACCATTCCTGATAAAGTTTATTAAAATCGAACAAGCTATTTAGAAGTTATGGAATTTAAAAATAGGGAATTTACTTTTTAACTACTCTGTTTTTCTTAATACTTATACCTTCGATATTATCTTTGTTATAGTACACATAAGTACATTTTCAACAATTCAAACAGATTTCTGTAATAAAAAGTCATTTTGTATAAATTTCTAATTATTGTCACTTAGCCAATTAACGATTACATGTATTAATTTATATGGAAATAAAATAAACACGTATTGTTATATCTGTACGAGATAGTCTACTTCAATTTATTCTCTAAGAATTTTCTATTTTTCTAACATATGATTCAATCAAATGTTAATGTAGGCAAATTTGAATAGCAAGTTGTGTAATAAATAACAATTGCTTTAATCGGATTCAACATAGTCATTTAAAATGTAATAAGAAAAAAACTAGTCTAAAAGAAAGTAACACTTAGAATCTTCAGTAAAAGACAAGGGAACAGCTTTAAATTCTTATATCAAAAACTACACTTGGAAGTAACAATCGCAAGTAATTTTTTTAAAATGTTTTCGAAAATTTAGTTTTTATATTTTGAGTAATAACTTAAGATATTCTTCTAATATTCTGAATTGTAAAATTTAAGATACTCTGTATATTTACACAATAAATCAACACTTACCATATTTAAAGAATTAGATACAAGCCCATTAATTTTGTGTGTTTTTACACTTCTTCTTTTTGCACTTTCTAAATTGGATATCGATTGGCTGAAACCTAATTCATCACCAATAGAAAAGCCTGTAATCAGACAATAAAAATCTGTTATAATAAGGATTCAAATAAAGACTATCCGAGACATCAGATCTTATCTTTATTCTATACATTTATACAACCTCGACAACTGTTGATGTTGATTTGATACATGTCATCATGCAAGCTTTTATCATTGACAGAATAAGTTGTTTTACAGGTGTAAGATTTTCTGCTAAATTTAGTGATTTACGCTTTTACAACATGTTTATTAAGCGGTCGCCATATTTTGTAACGATCTACAAAAAGTACGTTTAATAAGCACAGCGCAAAGTGATTGCGCGGCAAAGATCTTTCGCGAAGATTAAAACATTTTTTAATTTTGTTAAATTTAAAAAACAAAAATGAATAACAAAATTGAACATTCTACTTTATTATAAATAACGTTATAGTATATAACGTTATCACACTAGACGTGCATAATAAATTACAAAACTTATTTAACAATTAATAGAGAATCTTTTGGGCTCTAAAGTTTCTAAACTAGAAATATATAAACGGTAATAAGAATCGCGTTTGCTAGATGTTGCGGAAATATGTGTGTATATATACAAGGTGGACCACATAAGTGTTTACAGCTCAAACACTACGTTACTAGACTCGAAAATTTTAAAAACTGAGTTCTTTCAAACTTCTAACTATAATTAATAATTAATAAACTATAATTAACAATTTAAATGTAGATTAAAGTTTGGTGAATAAAAAATAAATAGTTTGACAGTGAAGGCGTTGCCGAACGGGTTGCAGGATTTTGGGCAATTAAAAAATCAATATCGTTGTGTGATTTAGAACAAACGTTTCGACTATAATTTTAGTCTTCTTCAGTGTTATCTCTGATCACATACTTTCACATCAATAACGTTGACATGTGTGTATAATGTTGACTAGTCAACGGTAGCAATCCTACTAAAGGAGATAGGATTGCTAACTAAATCAATAACACATCAATAACGTTGACATGTGTGTGTGATGTCGACTAGTCAACGGCAGAGATGCCAGTTTGCGGACGCCAGCAACATGCAACAGCAAGTGGAGGAGATACGCACACAGGCGAACAGCCGTGTACGTGTGCGCTCGGCGCTTCGGCCAGCTTCGAGCAGTAGAGAGA